GGTGGGGGGGGGGGGGGGGAACCTCACACTTCTTTTTTTTCATCCGAAAGCCGAAACAGATTCAATTTCGGACCCGAATCCTAAAAAAAATAATAATGCAAAATCCGAATCAAAACAAATTTTGTTGCTGGTGCCCATGTCTACTTTGTACCACATACAGAAATGCTGCATCGTGGTTTTGACGTCTTAGGCTGGGTTCACACCTAGGCGTATCGAATATGCGCGTTTGTCGCGTGTTTTTACTGAGATTCGCGGTAAAAAAAACGCGCAACAAACGCGCGTTTCCGAGGGCTACCTGGATACGTGCGGCAAAAACGCCCCAAAGAAGCTCCTGTACTTTTTTTGGGCGTAGGGCGTTTTGTAGCGCGTTCATACGGCCTGTAATACGCCCAGGTGTGAACCATACCCATAGGAAACAATGGGATTCCGGTGTTTGCGCGTTTTGCAGAGCGTAGGAACGCGCTACAAGACGCACAGGTGTGAACTGGGCCTTAGCGAAGACCAACCAGGCCAAATCCAGCCCTAACCAGATGCCCGAAGAAACCTCGCTGTTCAGTTCCACAAAATGTTCCCACAAACAGGATTATGGTGGTGCAGGCAGTACTTCCAAACCAGGCCCGGGGGCCCATTGGGTCAGCATTGGCTCTGGCCAGGGAGTGGCTTCCTGTGGGTGGCCCTGGCGGCTGCCATTGAATCTGCAAGCTTGTGCTGGGAGCTCTCTGGCTGCTGCCATGGAATAAGAGGGTGGGGTGAGTCTGCCATGCATCTTATAAAGCAGAACGCAGTGCAGCCTCGGCTCTCACGCGGGCCATTGCCAGCGGCCTTTCCCCTCCGTGCCAGCAGCACTTGTGAAAGAGAAATGTGATCCGAGCTTGGCAGCAGGGCCGGGTGTGCGCTCCCCTCTAAAGGGCACACAGCTGAGAGGAGAGTGGAGGGACGGACAGAGACGGGGGTACCCAAACCCCAGATCCAGGCTGAGAGACGAGGTGTGAGAATGGAGGATCTGGGTAATGTGGGGCGGCGGGGGGGGGTGCGTGTCAGAAGAAGATCAATTCATTTCAGTTACACCCCAGAAGAATGTCTTGGTTAGTGGAAATGGCCGAGCCGTCAATATCTTCAGGTCCATGGCCAACTTATCCCACAACAAGGTGCACACGCCGTCCTCTTACACAGGAAGCTCCCCGCCGCCCCCATTCAATGACATTCTCTGAACTCACTTCATTTATTGCAACTCCACCAACAAAGAAACGTGACGATTCAGACACGAGAGATACAAGACAATGAGAGTGAAAGCTGAAGACTTCCTTCTGAATAGATCCGGGGCTCTCTGCAGCTCTAAAACCGACTTTACTAGGGACTGGCTCCACATATGAGATGCTTAAAGGAGAACTATGAGGGGGGG